TATTTTCTAACTAAAGTCATAATAAATGGGAACGATTCATTACTCAAAAATAAAAGAACACACCTCAACTCAAATTCTTGAACATCAGCAATATCTTTGCCATGTGCATCAGACCAACTTTTCTAGTTCTTGTACTTGCAGCAGCTTTCTTAAGATTACTCTTGAGAGGAACAAATGGTTCAATTTGATGAAGCCCATTTGTTGCAATATTTGATGATCTTTCATTGACCTTATTTTTCTTGTCTGTAGAAGAGTGTTGTCGGCTGACGTTGTTGCTTCTACTCGTGTTAGATTCGTCCTCTTTGCCGTCTGAAATCCTTTCTGCTACATAGCATGTGCACACTAGAGAGGTGTTATGTGCCAAGGTCGTCAGGAGTATAAAAATGAGCCTCGCCACCGTTTTACTCTCCTGGTTTATATTATCATAAACACGGTGTTTGATCTTAGAAGAATTTGGAAAGTTTCAAGGAGATTAGTAGTTATATTGGCATGTTAGTAGGTTGAAGAAGATGAAACTATATAGATATATATATTCTATTTAATACTGTATATCGAACATGTTCAATGAATATGTGTCATTATATTCATTGTTAAGATAGTGGTTGGGATCTTTGGTTTGTAGATTGGAAACTAAAGATGGATGTGTTACGATGCAGTTATAATCATTATATCATATACTCGTGCATATCCTCCACTAAATTATTTCTTTTCCTTCTGCCATTGCACTCATTATCTTGGGTGAAATTGGTAAAAGAAAAAGAAAAAAGAAGCATTGCATTTGGCTTGAAACTTCAATAATTGGTGGATTTCAAGATCATTGTTCAATAAATTGGTAAGGTCTATGTCAAACGCTAATGAACGAGTGATAGAAGAAGAGACGCGTCTTGTCCACTAAAACCCTAAAATGGTCGTCGCTCGAACTTCTTCACTGAAAAGTTGCACTTTTTTCCATTTTGTTTGATAGCACAATCACAAAATCTTGGTGATCATCAACTATGCGTACTCATATCGCTTTGTCTTTACCATTTGCAACGACAAGGAAACCTTGACTTTTTATTTCAATATATATCTATTCATTTTTTTTTACATTGCTTTCTTGAAGTGAAGGGGGATAACGTACAGGCATGTGCGCTTTTAATCTAAAGCACCATTTTCACTCATGCTTGGGTGACATAATTATGTCCATGTTTGACAATCATTATTTCAATACTCTTTTTAATATATACTCATTTTCAATCATACATTTACACAACAAAATATTACATATAAATTCAAAATTTTTTCCTACTTTTTAATCACACATTTTTTAAAAAATTTTTATTCAGAATTCTATTTTACCCAAATAATGGTTATCAAGCAAGACAAAAGTTCTTATGAATATTAACATCATAAGCAAGATCAAATTAGCTAGCAAATGTCAATATCTATCAAACATACGAATAGTGTGTTGGATATGGAAATTTAATCATCTCAATAGGAAATTAATTTTCCTTTGACGATTGAATCCAAATGCATGGTGGATCTTAGATCAAATTGAGATCATAAGATGTTTTTATTTAAATAATCACACATAAAGGGTGAGATGATAACCTTGAAGGAGCTTTTAATGGCCTAACCAAATGCTTTCTCCCTTGTGCTCTTTAGGTACCTCTCATTTCTTTTCAGAAAATGAAAAATGGCTAAAATTCTAATCCTTGGTAAATGTGCCCTTAAAGGGCATATTTATGACACACAATTATAGTTTCATATTTGCACAAATTTTCTTGGACTTTATTGTAGTAGACCACACACCTTTATTGGAGCCAAAAGAGAGACCTAACCGGACTCACAAGACTCAAATTCCAATAGATGTTTCTAATTGGGTCAACTCTTGACCAATTGAGATATCTATTAATCCCGACTTACTCTACCAAAATATCATATTGCACTCTTAAGTCGAGTGAAAGTTATGGAAGCCAATTATGATTCGATAACAACATCCTCCGACCACCATTCCACAAGTCAACCCTTGTTTGACCGTTAAGATGTTGAAGTCGACAAATGACCATTTTGCCCTTCAACATCTATTACCCTCTAAGTACCATTTTATAAGGCGAATTCGTTGTGATCACATTACCACACCAAGTCCAACGATCTTATCGTCGGACTACTGAGCTCAAGTTCAATTCCCTTTAGAAAATATCTTAGAGTGACGATCGTTTCATCATGATGATTAGCGAATTCCTTATTGCATGTATATGATCTCTAACTTTTTCGCCCAGATTCCCAAAGCACGATACTGATCTTCTAATTAAGATTTTACTCATTGATACCTCAAAGAACTTAAACTAACAATTAAAGGTACATTACTTGCACAGGATTTAGGTGACTTGTTTGATAATTGAGTGGTGTCTCATTTCGAGCGATCACAAATGAGTCATCCACGTGGTCCCGTTCAATGTGATTCAAAACACGTTATTGTTCTTATTCCCAAATTTAGACAAAACTTAATAAGAACAATGCAATCTTATCAACATAAAGCATCCAACTTCATGTATCGATTGTGAACGACATATATTGATCATATAATGAATTGTGTCTCCCTATACTCAAACCGTCGAGTATACAATTTGATATTTCATATGATCATGGAACCTTAGATTATTCTCGCAAATACTAACATGCGAATAGCTTAACGTTAATTCATAATGTTGTTACAATATATTTACTACAAAAAAGGGCAACAAACTAACATAGTGGTGCAAACCTCGTTGGTCGAGCATGGCCCAATTTCGGTTAAAATGAAGATAGAGATGTAATATGAATTAAAAAGGAACATTTGGGAACATACAGTGAATCTTGGTGAATTACGAATATTGGTGCTCGACCATCTAATTACTCGAAGGTTTTATACTATTTACGAAGATACAAATAAAGTCAAATAATAAACACATTAAAGGTCTTGTACTAACATCAACGTGCAACAAACTTGACCCCAATATACATTTAAACCTCAATGGGATTTATACAGCAACGATGTGAGCTTTTCAGAACTTTTAGGGTGTGTTTGATTAGAAATTTTTTCATGGAAAATGACCTTTTCCACCCAAATTTCAATTTTTGGAGTGTTTGATTGCCATTTTCTCATAGAAAATATTTTTCAACATTTGAAAATGTCTAATTTTCTTTGTTTTTGAGAAAAATATTTTTTTTGGAGGGTGGGAAGCAAAACCAAATCCTAGCATCGTGCTATGCGCTAGCACTTGTTGAGGGAAGAACTCAAAAAAGGATGTTGATCTCTCAGGTTCACAGCTATGTAAATCAAGATCAATAAAAGGAAGTTTACATAGACACAATGCAACCTAGGAAGTCCATCCAGAAACATAAAGATTGATCCGTCTATGACAGGTCATTTTTTCTTCAAAACAAGAAAATCATTTAGATATTTTTTATGTCAATCAAACACACCATTAATGATTCAGTGTGCTCTTATTCATTGTTTCTATAAGTGACGTCTATACTAGTACCTTTGAGATTGAAAATTCTCATTTTTTCCCTTGAAGAGGAAGTCGGTTTGAGAGAATCTTCATTAAAGTCCTTCCACGAATCTGTAGCATTTCAAAAAACTTATTGACCGCCTCTTCATAGGGCGTGCCATTATATTTCATGTTGCTTTCAATTCCGGGGGGCAATTTGGCTCATTTTCTTCTCAACCGTCGATTCCAATATATAACGAAGACAATTAGAAAAAGCATCCAGATAAGCGTGTGCATCTTCATAATCGATTCAAAATATACTCTCAGCATTACCAAAGTTTAGATAAATTATAATAAAACTAAGGCGATCTTATCAAATATAACGTTCTTCTTTATTTACCAATGGTGGACCATAAATTTTAGAAGGAATCATAAATTGAATCTTTCGGTGCTTAGCAATCAAGGAACAAATGTAAGCTCACAATAACACAATCAACATATCCAAAAATAAAAAAAATCAATATTTTATTTCAAATATCGCGAATAAAAATAAATTTACTCGATGAGCAAATAATATCTAACTGATAAAACACAAACAGTAAGAGAGAACAGTAGCTTCAAAAGCTGAGTTCAAAGTAAACAATTAATTTTAACCACACATTTCATTTGACATACAATTTTTATTCAACTTCTCAACCTACATTTCGTCCACTTTTATACAAATCTACTAAAACCGTTATCAAAATTTTTCTTAAACAAACCCTTATTTAATTTTACAGAACAAGCCCCTTTAAATTGGTTCATTTTCTCATCAAATACGAGGAGCATGTAAATTTTTCATAACAGAGTAACAGTGATACTTGGATCTCCTCGTTCTATTCTTCCTTGGGCCGAAGCTCAATCCCTTCAACAATAAGGCCATGCTTCCAGTGAAGCTTCTCGATATCAAAGAGTTGCATCTGAATATCACCTTCATCTCCTCCGTCGTTGAAATATTCTCCCAATTCAATCTCCATCCACCCATCCCTTCTTTCTTTCGGGAGCCAACCATCAAATTGCAAGACCGGTCGTCTCAACCTTCCATGTCTACGAATTGGTTGTTTTAGGCACACAGTGTTGTTCTCACCTATGCCATGTTGAACAAGTTTGACAGATGCCTTTAAGGGCGAGTTGAACCCGTAAGAATTTTCTAGGAGTTTGAACACGAGATATGCGCCGTAGTTAGTCTTCGGAGACAACATTCGAGTTTGCATTTTGCCATGAATATCAAGCCAGCAAACATCCAATAGTTCTGCTACCTCAGCAAATCTACAGACAATAGAACTCAAATATAATGACACTTCTATTAAGGTAATATATAAATAGAGGAAGATATATAAACCTTGATTCTGCAAGAGTCTTCCAAGTCCAGTGCTGTGGAGCTTCTACCAAAATGCGGAGTTCCTTTGCACACAACATAAAACACTTCTTTCCACTCGTCTTGCTCAGTCTAAAACTCTGTCCAAAAGTTCAAATTAGATGTAGAAAGTGAGATGAAAAGGACAGCGAACAAGAAGGGACAAAAGAAACAAGAATTGAAAGGACAAATTAATCAATCAATCAATATATAGTTAAGGGTAAAATCTCACTTCAGTTAAGCCCTCCATTCGAATACCAAACATTAATTTCAACTACACATCCATAGCTATTACTCATTCTTTTACTCATTCTTATCCACGTATTCCATGAGACCCACTACTAATTCTCTTATTTTTCTTCTATATAAACCATTCATCAAACAGAGGCAACACGTACAAATTTGTGCTACTTCTCTTAACAAACCCTTTAGAGTAATGTTATTAGTCGTTAGTTATCATTGTGGATATTATATATGCATACAATTGAGTCCTCAAAATACTGTAAACTGAAGTGCTTCAAACCTTTGTTGTTCGACTCGGGGTCAGTTCTAAAAAAGTCAAAAGTATTTCGAATTATTTGTTAACATGTACAAAATCAAGGAAACCTCTAAAATTATTTTCATGAATATAAGGGTTCAGAATCGAATCTAATCTAGTGGAGTTATGATTCATTTTTTATTCAACCTTTTAGTTGAGAAAATCCCAACTCAAATATGTTATCAAACCTCACCAAGCTCAAATGAACAATCCGAATTGTCTAAAACTCAATCCATCTCGTGAGAACAGAGACAAATACTACCTCGATTGTATATATATATAACAAGAACTGACAGATAGAGAAGCAAATGATCAATTAAGTCTCCCAAAAAGTCTAAAAGCTATAAAGAGAGTTTAATTATAAGTGGATTAATTACCAGTTTGCCACCATCAAGGAGGATAGGAGAATCACAAAGATGAAAATAAAGTTCCTTTTTGGAAGAATAAACCAGCGGGGAAACCGATCTTGCAATAATATCTTGATAATCCGACGGAAGAAACTGCTCCCACAGAAAATCAGATTCAGCAGCAGATTTGAATCCCATAGAAACAGTGGATGCAATACATGCTTCTTTTGGGGATGTAAATGAGAATATATATGATATGCATGCCTCTGGTAATACCCAGAAACTTGACATCTTATTCTCTTCACTCATGGCTTGAGTTTCGAGAAATTCTGAATTTTGGTCGATTGAATTTTGTGTCGGCGTGTTGGAAGGAAAAACCCAGACAATATATTGTGATAAGCCGGGTTAAAAATTGGACTTAAAAAATTCGGTCTAGGACACATCACCCCCTTACACAAGGGGTGACACAATGGCCAAGTGGCGCTTCCTCCAATGAGGAGGCGCCACTTGGCCATTATTAGAGGAAGCGTCACTTGACCATTATGCCACCCCTTATGTGAAGGGTGATGTTCAAGAAGCATTATTCTAAAAAATTAGACTTCGTGGTTGAGTTTTGTGGGTATTTCCGTATTTGCCATTTGTTCTTACTTGAAGACACTCACAGCTTATTGGCTTATTCTGAAAAGTTAAATTTTCATTTCCAAATACATAGAGAAATTGGTAGTGTTTTACGATGGTGCTACATGTATACCACAATTTATAGAAGATTTTATCAGTAGATGATGTGACGAGATTTGATTAAGTTAAAATCTCATCAACCAAATAAAAAAAATCTCATTTTCTTTTTGATACATTATCGATTTGTAAAAAATTATGTACATGATAATCTACAAAAAGCATTTTCAATGTTTTTTTTTTACTTGTTTGGAATAGCTTAAAAAATTGTTATCAACCATACATTTTATCAATTTTTATGAAAAACTTTGTCAAACAACACCTTAATCGTATGCACAAAGGGTTGTTCATTTTGACGGTAAATAAAAAAAATTATTTGTAATTCAAGTTCTCAAGTTGTGTACACGAAAAATATGGAGACTTAATGGTTAAGATTTGTGAGTATGGTATATTATTTGTAAATGATAGACTAAGGTTGTAGTTTGTCATTTGGGAGAAAATAGTATACAACCTAAATTAAACTATAATTAGTAGATCTTGACCTCCAAGTTCCAATACAAGGACAAGAGAAAGAAGCTGTACCTTACATGATACAAAATATGGATAAGATATTGGGAATACTTCAAAGTTAGTTAGAACCATTAGTCCATGTTTGGTTTCATATCTTAAAACTCATTTTTAACCACACGTTTCATTAGCTTTTATTAAAATCTACGCAAAATCCCTTTTTTAGGAAATATTTTTTTTTTCGTTTTTTTTTAACTTTTTGGCAATGGAAACAAAATTTATAACCAATTGTGAAAAAAATTATCACTTTCATGGACAATTTTCATGTAAATTTTAGTCAAGCAAACACAAAATTTAAAAATTTTTCGGGTGGAAAATTATACCAATCAAACACACTTAATTTTCAATTCTCTGAAAAATAATTTCTAGACAATTACTTTCCCTAAAATTTATTTTATTTCCACTCATTTTTCACCCTTACAATCAAACGGACCCTTATATTTGTTGTAGCTATGTTTGCAATTCACTTTTATTGGCATAGTAAATAATGTAAAAAAGTGAGCTACTAATAATGGTTGGGTTAGAAAATTATTATCTACTAATAAGATAATATAACCAAATAAACCAAAATGTATGAATTAATGTCCTTAAAAGAGAAATTAAGAGTGTGTTTGGTACACAATCATTTTAATGAACAATTTCCATATAAAATAAAGCCAAACAAACAATAAAAATGATGAAAAATGATAACTTTTTGGCTATAGAAACAAATTTTATGACCAATTAAGGAAATAATTATCACTTTAATGGACAATTTCCATATAAAACAAAGCCAAACGAACACAAAATTTAAAAATTTTTCGGGTGAAAAATTATAACAATCAAACACACTTAATTAACAATTCCCTACAAAATATTTTCTAGACAATTATTTTCCCTGAAATTCATTTTCTTTACACCTATTTTCCACCCTTGCAATCAAACGGACCCTTAATTTTTGAATTATAAACTTTTCCTTTATGCCCTTCAATTGAAAGCATGAATTGTTACACAAGCATTTTTTTTTTGTATAATCGATGTTAAAAATCAGATCATTAGAAGCAAGAAATTTTTTTTGCCAATGAACAACATTGATAATATTCAATAGAAAATAAGCATGCTCAAATACGGCTGAATGAAGAAGTGTTCATCGACATTGAGGTGTTTAGCAAAATTACTAATACACCACATACCAAAAACAAAAAAATAAACGCGTTGCAAATTACTAACGTAGCTCATGTGCCATATAATCACATAGTAGTTGCCACGACATGTCCTCTTCGACTATTGCATTTAGCTCGATGGCAATTTCATCTTCTTCATTAGGTAGGTATATCTCAACTTCGTTATCATCCACTTCTTTGGCTCAATGAAAACCCCCATCCGGTTGACCGTTTCTCCTTAGGAAATTGTGTATTCCCATTGTGGCCACGACCACAGTAGTCTGCGCTCGCATATTGTAACCAGGCGTTTGATCAAGAATCATTCATCTCTATTCCAAACACCAAACGCATGCTCGATACGTTACGACACGAGAAGTGATGGAGATTAAACCGTTCGCGTGCATTTTTATAGGGAACCATATACCCAGGCCTATGTGCAAACACGGAATCAACAAGGTAATTTTTTCCCTTCGCATGTTGCGAAAAATTGACCTTTGGACTATGTATAGCTCGGTCCAATATGCGACTGTCGTGTGTGTTCCATGTGGACCCTGACAATACGAACGTGAAACAAAGTTTGAAATCGCAGGCGGCCAATACATTCTGTGTTGGAATCTCCTTCTTGCCAATGAAGTTCTTTCTTCTATGTTGTGGCAGCACAGCTTTTACATGCATTCCGTCGATTACACCAATGAAACCCTGAAATAGGGGATAGCGTTCCGAATTCGGGTGATGGTGAGCTACACCTTCATTGTACATCGGATCTGGTTGTATCATGTTTGCCAAGAACGCTACATATGCGCGAAGGACCGTCCTAAAATAATGACAAATGGTCTGCAACGAATGACCAAATAGTGTGAACTTGTCGATAGCCTTTGCCGCGTGCCAGTATATACAAAAAGATTCCAACCTATTTGTATATATTGATGTTCGCGCTGCTCAAAATATCGTAATCGATGCGCAAAATATGCATGGAGTGCATAAACATCGGAGGATATACCTGAACTCTTGAAAACAAGTTTGTAGATAAACGCACATATTGTAGCATGAAAATGTGGCCACATTGCATTATTGGAAATAAATACTGACGAGCTGCATTAGATGCCAAGTACTAGCACAAAATGCACTCGGCTATTTTACAATATTCAAGCCACGTGTTTATGTTATCTTTCAACTGCTGCATCACATCTTCAACAAAACTCGTATCCAAATTAGATATAAATTCGATGATGCAATCTGTTTTTGATGATAAGTACACCGTCGAGTCGTCCAACATCTCTTCGACGGTACGAATGATATATAGTTACGAAAATAGTGACTATGAATACGAAAACAAAATGCAGCCCTTAGAAACAATCTTCTATTATGCTAAGGTAAAAAAGACTTAAACGAGGTGCCTATCTCATTTATAGAAAGAAACCTTGAGTAATAATGGGCCTTTGAAAAAAATTGATTTCAAAATTCCATCATTTCATATTTTTTTGTCAACTTTTGCACTGCTTGTACGCGGAGCAAAGGCAGTCATTGCCCATATTTTCGAATATTGCAAAAGCTTCCAATTTCTAAATAACAAGTAAATTTCAAACAAGAAATGACAACTAGTTAACGTACACACTACAAACACGGTTTGAATCTAGTTGTACATGCCATTAAAAAAAATACAAGAAAATTAAAATAGATGTCCAGCACACGAAAAAAATACAAATAAAGCGATAAAATGAAGACCTTAGTGCACAAGTACGCCGAGTAATGCTTGCCCCTTAGGCGAAAGAGGCTAATTGTCCCGCTCGAAGTAGTACTCGATAAACTTAAACCACAGGTACGGTGTATTGGCAGCAGGGTACGAATTCCTATTTTCCTTTACTCGTAGGAACCATAGCTCAAACAGTGTAGCGTCGCACCATCCTCCACATTCCCAAACGATAGAAGTTCACTCATGCACTTGTCGACCGACATGTCTGCCTTCTGATGAGATCTCGTAATTGAGGCAAGATCCGTTCCAACACTAACCATTTGCCCAAGAAAAGCAGATGCCTCTTGAGCACTATTCTTTTTTTTTCTTTCCTTTATTCTTCTTGTGTTTGCGTTTCCTTTTATCCTCACTGCGTTTGCTCGATATATTCATAGAGGTGTGACCTCTATCTTCGACGGGGCTATTGCTGGAATCCGTTGTTTCCGTGTTGATGGGCAACTTGTCGCTTCCGTCCTCTTTGTCACTATCAGTGGCCTTTGTCCTCACTATTTGTGACAGCTTTGTTGGGGACAATGCATACTTTGTTGAATCACGAGTGTCGCCAAACAATTTACCATACTTGTCATAGATCTCACTACAGTCGAAGTTCTTGCACTTAGCATATTCTAGGTTATCCTAAATTCACAAGAAAACAACAAATTACGTTCGGACAAAAAAACATATGTAAATATAACATTTAACATCGAAGACACAAATAGAAATGGAATAAAACGTTGGAAAAAAGACTACAATTAAGCAGTAATGTATACTATCTGCTAATGCAATAACGAATGAGCCGTGTAATAAAGACACTAAGACAGACAAACTTTTCCAAACACCAATGCATACAACATAAAAAATTCACATTTCGTATGTCTCTTGCACTGCAAAAATACAATAATCTCTACCTATATATCTCTATTCCTAGCAGCTCTAAAAAACGTAAATAGTGATGTGAAATGCTCAAAAGGGACATGATCAAATTCGTTCCATATAGTTTTCATTTTCATATGTTTTAGATTTCAATTTGTCTATTTCACAATAAGGTTGAAACTAAAAAATGCTAGGTCTTTCGATTTCATAGAACATAATTGACTATTGGTATTCTGAAATTGCAAGTAGCCAATCAACGTATGTACATACACATCCTGGGAAGGTTTGTACCACAAGAATAGATTTTGCATTTTACACAA